CTCCATTGCTGCAGGGTCCTACAAGCCTCTTCATTGGAACTCAGTCAAGCCAAACTTCCACTCTTGATACTCATCAAGCCTAATTTGCTATAGTGTTGTGTTATGAACAACAAGGCCTTTTTTTTTTTTTTTTTTTTTTTTTGCTTAATGCTTCCAGCATTTGTCTGTTATGAATTAGTTATGTTTATGTTTTTGGTAAGACATTTTGTGGGTGGACAAGTCTTTTGAATCATTATCTAATCATGTGTACCTAGTCCAAAAAATTGGTACTCACTGAACACTAATTACATATGACATGTACATGTTGTTGCTAATTGCTTAATTATCTTGTTTGGTATACAATAGACAATGAAATCATTCATGTCATTCAGTAAAAGTGAAAGAAAATAAAAAGACAATGTATTCTTCAAATACAACCCATAATTACTACATTAATAACATATTACAACTTGTTCATAACATCGACCATCAACTACTTCACATACAAGACTGTTGCAACAAAGAAGATCCATGAAAATACCACTATTATAACTGTTTCGGGGTTTTCTGATGTCCTGCGGGAGAGTTACAATTCCGTGACTGGAACCGGACGCCTGTACCTGCAAAACAAACGGATGCTCCGGATGATTGGAGATCCGCCTCCGACGGTCAAGTTAGTACTTGATTAAGGAGTAATTAATGCGGAAATTAAAGTGATTGGGTCTCTCTAGGTGAGAGAGTTTAATGTGTGTAATCTGCGTAATCTCCCTTAATGAGGATTAAGGGAGGTATTTATAACCTCGGGAAACGTGCCAATCTAGGTTTAGGTTAACCTTGGGCTGATTGGGCTTCCCTCGGAAGTTGGGCCTGGGTGGCCGACTTCTCCATTAGGCATGGAGTATGCCACGTGTCATGACATAATAGGTCCAAGGCGACGAATAAGCGTGTGCCACGTGGCAAGCCCTGAGAGGTCCAACTGGGGAACACTTGGCAGGACCTGATTGGCCCACGTGGCGCATTCCGATTGGTGGGAGCAAAATCCCCTAATCATTTGCCCCTCACAGGTGGCACGTGACAGGTATCGCCCGTCGCCTGTTACAGGTGTCACTCGGCGAGAGGCCGAGAGATTCCTAAATTCTGGAAGTGACCCTTCGCCTTCTCACTTCGCCTATATAAAGGAGTGTTTACTTCGGTCATTTTCACACTTGAAAACTTTGTGAGAGAACATTCGGACCCCTGAACTTGCTCTGACATTTTGGACCCTTTCTGCCTACCGCCTGCTCTGACAAGCCGACTGCAAAGGATTTTTAGAACTTCATCAATCGTCACTCGTTCAGGTAACCGTCGGTTCTCTTACTCTTAATTTTCTCTTTACTTTATTCTATTTTGAAATGGCACCACGGAAGCACACGAAACGACCTAGGTTAGTGATCATCCGGTCACCGGGGACGGCTGAATCTAGGACTAGGAGTGCCGCCTGCCCTTTTCTGGACCCATCTTTGCCCTTTATACAAAGTCCGACTGTATCTGTGTCTATGTAGAGCATGATGGCCAGAACAAAAAAGACTGCCAGGATCTCAAACTCAGACGGCTCCTCCCACAGGGTGCCGATTAGTGAAACATCTGACCAGGCGCCAGATGTAGAAGTGAAACAAAGCGGCTTGAAAGCCAGCAGTTCTGAGGGAGGAGTCAAAGTGACCCCTTCCCATTTTACAGTTGGCAATTCTACATTCTCTCCTGCTCCTTTTAAAGGAGAGGAGGCGGGCCCCTCCGGGAGAGGGGAGGAGTCGTCCTCTTTGGACTCGTCAGAGGACGATTCCGAGTCTAGCTCTTCTGGCCATGCTTCACTGGACACAGAAGAGAAAAACAGTCGCCTACAAGAGGTGAGGCTTTCTCACGCAGTTGGGAAGGGGGACGATTGGGGAGCCATCCGCCTCTCACCGAGAGCAAAATACCCCCTACTACTGCACGGTACCTCAGGGCCGGATCACAGCCATGCAAGAGAAAGTGGAGAGCTTTATCGCAAACCACACAATGGGCCCTGGCTTTTTAGTGTTCGTGTCGGATCCAGAAGACACAGTCGTCTGGCCGGCTGGTACCAGTTATGATGGCGCCTGCTTTGGCTGCTACGAGGCGACCATCAAGGCTGGGCTGCGCTTCCCACTACATCCGGCTGTTCAGCGGATCTTGGATGGGTATGAGTTGGGGTTATGGCAGTTAGCCCCGAACTCTTGGGTCAACGTACTCGGCTATGTGGTCGGGTGCGAACTGCACGGGGTGGAGCCGAACTTCGAGGCTTTCGCCCACATGAACTACCTCAGCCGGACCCCTAAGGCAGGCGGTACCGGCTGGTATCAATTGACGAGCCACAGGGGCTACCTCATGACGAGAGGTAAAGCAAACAAATGGAAGGACTGGCGGAGCACCTTCCTTATCATTGAGAGTTCAGACACAGAGCTGAACAAGCGCTTCAACAGGTGGAACAGGAATCCGCCCCTTCTTGCAGGCGGCCGCAGCATGCCGCCTGTCCCCCCCAAGGCTAAGAAAGAGATCCTAGATAAAGGACTCTTCAAAGTAGAGTCGAAAGTGAACTCTACTTCAGGGGTACGAGAGCAAGTACCCCTGCACTGCGTCCCGAGCTTCAAATGGCTCTACGACGAGTACTTTTTGGCCGCCTGTGGCCTCAGCAGTCGGTGCTCAAGAGGTAGCCGGCCTGTCGAATAATTTGTTGTTCCATGCATTTCTTGTTATGACTTTTATTAACTTTGCTATTTGTTTTTGCAGCGGACGCCATGAGCAAAATTACCGCCTCCAAGACTGCGGCGGCCATGTTGCGGGCCTCCATCGTGTAACAGTCTTCAACCGACTCCCCCAACAAGGGGGCACCCTTGGTGGGCTTCGAACCTTTCACCCTCTTTTTGGAGTTGTGTTTATGCATATATGATAACTTGCTATTTGATACGATTTTAGGGTGTTTTGAACCTAGTTTACTTGATATAAATTGCGTTTTGGTTCATTTTTACTCTATTATTATGCAATTTTTGTGTATCCTATGCTTCACGGGTTGTTGGTGTTTTTGTTGAGATTCTAGGTTCAAAAGAACGACCAAATGGAGCCCATGGATACAAAGCCGAGGTTAGAAGCAAGAAGATGGATGAAAGAAGCCAAGGAAAGGAGCATTATAGAAGAAAAGATGAAAAAAAGGGGTTTAGAAGACCCTGCACGGCTGTGCCAGACCTTGCACGTCCGTGCAGGAGGTTCCAGAAAGCTTCAGCAAGCTGCCAAGGCCTGCACGTCCGTGCCAAATCTGGCACGTCCGTGCAGAAGAGGGTGCACGACCGTGCCAGACTTTGCACGTCCGTGCAGAAGTGCTCCAGAAACTCAGAACATTCTTCCAAGGCCTGCATGGACGTGCCAAATTAAGCACGTCCGTGCAGATGTAGCTGCACGTCCGTGCCAATATCTGCACGTCCGTGCGGAACTGCTCGATTCTTAGCAGTACGTTCTGCCTCAATTCTGCCCCCTCTGCACGTTCGTGCCAAACTTGGCACGGCCGTGCTTAGCCTTGCACGGCCGTGCCAAATCTGGCACGTCCGTGCAGACCTGCAGTCGAACTCCTTCCTTGTTTTCTCCGTCTTTTTTATTTGGGGGTCATATAAATACCCCTTTAGAGCTCATTTGTAGGGGAGGCAGTTTTTCAGAGCTTTTCTCTTAGTTTGTAGTCTTAGAACATTAAATTCTCAAATCATTAGTTAGTTCTCAATTATTAGCTTGGAATTATTCAAATTCAATCATTGTAGAAGACAAAATCCACCATTGTTGCTCACCTTGAAGCTTCATAGTAACCATTTCTTACTCATCTTTTCTACTTCTCTTTACTTTGTTGTTAATCATTTGCTAGTTCTTGCATGTTTTGGATTGTTAATTAGCTTAATCCTTAGTTTGAATTTGTTCATGAATTGCTTGAAATCTTTAATTGCTTTAACCCCCATGGATTGTGAGTAGTCTAAATTCTAGGGTTTGGGCAAAACCCTCAATGTAGTCACTAATTACTTGTTGTATGTGCTAATTTGGTTGTTGTGGGATGTTAATTAGTTGAGCTTAAGTGGTTTAATTGCTTAGTTCTTGTATATGGCCATTGCTAGAACTATTTATCCAAGCTTTCTCAACGAAGGATCGAGAGATGAACTTGAGTTAGCTCCCTTATGCTTGATTGACCCGAAATGCCATGAGAATAGGGATTACCGGTCAAGGGAATATTTATGTCATCGTGATTATGCTTTAACACTTGTTTTATGCTATGTAACCACGAGAGTAGGTCGTATTCATGATTCAAGTAATCCCTCTAGCTTGAGAGAGTAGTTGGGTGCTTTAGATGACTTCCCCTAATTTATCCCATTAATTTACCTTGATTGTTGCATGCTAATTGTGATTTGTGATGAAGTTGAGTGGTATAACCCAAGCCCTAGATTCCTCTTAATATTGTTAACCTCCTCTTAGCTTAGTTGAATTGTGTTAGAAGAAGTTACTAAAAACCAACCCAATTTAGAATTCGTTTAGCTTATTTAAACGGTAGTACTCGGTGGTTGATTCAACGCCTCTCTTGGGTTCGACCCTTTCTTACCCTTACTATTGTTAGTGAGACCAAGATAGGAATTATTATCTTTGGTAGGCTCGACGACGGCCTATCAAATTTTGGCGCCGTTGCCGGGGAGGCAAAGTCACATTGAATGTATTATTGTTGAATGAGACTAGATGTGTGTATATGTATAGTAGTTTTCTTACCTTAATTTTTGTTTATGTGTGTTTAACTTGCGATAGTCATTGCTAACGTTTTTCTTAGCTTTGTTTGACTTTGCATGACACGAAAGAGTAAGCAATCACCGCTTATTCCCGTTGATCCAGAGCTAAATAGGACTTTGAGAAACGTGAGGAGACTCTTGCAAGGCACACCCGAGTTTTCCATTGTATATTCGGATTCCGATCCGGAAGAGGTTTTTGGAGCTAACGAAGAAGATAACATGGGAGAGAATCCTCCTCAACCATTGTTAAGAGACTATGACCACCCCAACGCATTCCAACTTCGGAGTGGCATACGTCTTCCCACCACGAATGCAAACAACTTTGAGCTTTCACCTCAACTCATCCGCATGATTCAAAGCGATCAATTTGGGGGTAGTCCTTATGAGTGTCCTTTTGCTCATTTGGACAACTTTCTTGAATTGTGTACAACTATCAAGCAAAACAACATTTCGGAAGAGTTTATTCGGATGCACATGTTTCAATTCTCCCTTCGAGACAAAGCAAAGCATTGGTTGAGAATGGTTGAAGAGGGATCGTTGAGTACTTGGGATGAGGTGACTAGAGCTTTTCTTGGGAAGTATTGCCCTCCCGAGAAAACCGCTGAATTAAGACGGAAGATCACAAACTTCAACCAAGAGGTTGATGAAACTTTGAGTGAAGCATGGGAGCGGTTCAAAGATTATACTAGAGCATGCCCTCACCACGGTTTCACCTCATGGATCATAGTGCAAAGCTTCTATGATGGTCTTACTCCTACCTCAAGGGCCAACCTTGATTCGGGAGCCGGAGGTAGCCTTAAAAAGCTATCGGTTGACGAGGCCTACAAAATGATTGAGGAAGTGGCTAAGCATTATGCTTATGGAGGTGATAAAAGGCAAGGTCAACCCAAGAAGGGCGGTAAGCATGATCTTGAAGCAATAGATCTTATTGCTTCAAAGGTTGATATGTTAGCTCGAAAGCTAGATCAAGTGAACAATGTGCCCGGTAGCTCCTCCCCACAAGTCATGTCTTGTGAGACTTGTGGAGGAAATGACCACTTGGCATCCTATTGCAACACTACAACGGAGCATGTGGCTTCACTTGGTAGGAATGATCCTTACTCCCAAACTTTTAACCAAGGTTGGAAACAACATCCAAATTTTGGGTGGAAACAACCCAATCAAGCTCCCCCTCCTCAAAACAATTACAACCAAGCTCCTCCTTACAATCAACCCCCTCCACAACAACAAGCTCCCTATCGCCACCCCAATCAAAGAGACAATGTCCAATAAAGACCCCAATACAATCAAGCCCCTCCTCCTCCAAAATCCAACATTGAATCCGTTTTGGAAACCTTCATGACCCAACAAATCAAGATCAATGGGGAAGTTAGTAGCTCAATTCAACAACTCCAAGCACACAATAAGATGATTGAAAGTCAATTATCTCAAATTGCACAACAAGTTGGGTGCACCTCTAACCCCGGTGGTCAATTTCCAAGCACAACGGTAATGAATCCAAAAGAGCAAGCGAAATCAATCACCTTGATTATGGAAGGGGGGTATGAAACTCCAATTATGAGAGAAAATGTTGCCAAAAAGGGAGATGAGGGAGATAGTTGGGTAGATGAAAGTGAGTTTGAAAATGAAGTGAGTGAGGAGGCGAGAGGAAGGTCAAAAATGAGTGATGAGGGTGCCTCAAAGAGAGATGAGGGAGAAGTGAAGAGTCAAGCTCCATTGAGAGCATATGAGCCTCATATTCCATTCCCTCATAGAATGATAGAGAAGAAGCTAAATGAGAAACTTTCTAAGTTCCTTGATGAAATGGAAGGACTTCAATCAAACATTCCACTTCTCCATGCTTTGTCTCAAATGCCTACATATGCAAAGTTTTTGAAAAATATTCTTTCTAACAAGAGTAGGCTTGAGGAGAGTGATTCTATCTCTCTTCCAACGGAGATAAGTGCTATTCCTCAAAATGAGCTTCCCGAGAAGTTTGGTGACCCCGGTAGTTTTGCTATACCAGTTAAGGTTGGAGATCTTGAATCAACAAATGCTTTGTGTGATCTTGGGGCTAGTGTTAGCCTTATGCCTCTCTCTATGGCAAAAAGATTAAATCTTGGGGAGATTAGCCCCACCAAAATGTCAATCCAACTAGCCGACCGCTCGGTTAAAGTCCCATTGGGAGTCTTGAAGGACATCCCAATTCAAGTGGGGAAGGTTCTTGTGCCTTGTGATTTTGTAATCATGGAGATGGATGAGGATTTCAAAATTCCTCTCATATTGGGTAGGCCCTTTTTGAAAACCGCGGGTGTTAATATTGACATGAAACAAGGGCGGCTTACCTTACATGTTGGGCATGAAAGAATCTCTTTCTCATTTCCGGAAACGTTGAATGACCCCATGGTTAAACAAGTTCATCGGGTTGATGTTTTGGTTAATATTTTGAAAGAAGACATGGAGGAGTCACAAGATGAATCGACTCATGCTCCGGAGGTGAAAAAGCAAGAGAGGGCCAAGAAGAAAAAGAAAAACAAGATCAAGTTGATAGACAATATGTTTGGTTGCATTTCTAGTGATGATAGCAATGTGATTATTTTGCCTAAGGAAAATGGCAAGTGTGTGGGAACAATGAGATGGGTCAAAAAGGTGTGCCTTGACCCTCCCTAATTTTGGATAGCGCAATGTCGTCAAGCTAGTGACGTTAAAGAAGCGCTTCCGGGAGGCAACCCGAATACTTTTGTAGTGGATTAACTTAAAAAAAAAAGAAAAGAAAAAAAAAAACAGCACAAAGTGCATGTCTTCCAACAACAACCAACAGGAACAAAGGTACCAAGGAGGTTCAAGCGTCGAAGAAGACCCGATCCTTGAGTTAGTCTTCTTTCTCCTTTTTTTTTATGAGCTTTTATTGCTTAACATTGAGGACAATGTTTATGATAACTTGGGGGGAGTCATTTGCATGCCTTCTTGACATGTTGGTTTGTTTGGTTGCGTTTGTTTTGGTTGTTTCATTTCCCTAATATCCAAGGCCCTTAATCCAATTTAGCTTCCTTGAAATCCAAACCTCTTGTCATGTGAATATTAGTGTTCCCTCTCTAGTTAGTAATGTGAATATTTTCGCTTTCTCTTCAAAAAAAAATGATGAAAAAATTGAAAAATGAAAAAAATTCCCAAGGTTGAGACTCAAATGACAATGCTTATATGTTTTTCTTGCTTGACTCTTGAGCGATGAGTACTAGTTCTCTTAGAAGGGTGTATGCAAGAGATGGGGTCATTTAGAGGTCTATTAATCTTGATTGCATTAGTGTATATGAAATGAAAGTCAATGAATGCTCAATTGCACACCCAGTATAGGATATTGTCTAATTCGCTCAAGTAGGTTATGTTTGAATTGAATTGCGGTCCCTTGTGCCCTTAATGTGCCTCCTTTCCTCCCCGAAATGAAACTCTATTAGGGAATTGGTTATACTTGTATTATGTGTAATAAGTGGCATAATAAGCCACACGTTTCGAATAAAGAAAGAGCCGCTCACAGTTAAAAGAGGCGAGGGCAATAATGTAAAAAAAATGAGAAAAAAAAATAAATAGAAAAGAAGGGAGAACAAAAAAAAAAACTCCCCCAAAAATTCTCAAAATTTTTATTTTCTTTTCTTTAGAGGTCAACTTGTGGATGCCTCCCACACATTGTCGAATTTGTTGCTTATTGTTTCTTGTGAAATTCCCGAGTTAGAGTGTAATTAAGGGGCCTTGGGTGTGCATTTTGGGAGGTGGACTAGCATTTTGAGATTTTATAACCGAAAGAGGGCTCATTACAACTTTGGAATATCTAGGTGTGCTCTAATGAACTAGTAAAAGGTCTAAAGAAGTATCCTAGTGCAATCTTGCTTAGTCCTCCTCTTTACCCCCAACTCATGTGCACATTTGTATGATTGGTAATTCTTGAAAGTCGCTCATTTGTCTTGCTTGCGATTTATATCTCGATGAGTTGACTTGGGTGATAATAACATCAGAACTTGTGTAGTTTGATAGTTTTGTTGTGGTCTGCGTGAGTTGTGGGGCAAACTCATTGGAAACCCTCACGAGATAAAAACTCGTCCTCTAAGGCGACATAGAGGTTTAAATTGCTTCTCACTTGTGCTAAAAGTGATGATGGTTGTCACCATGCGGATTTGTTTATGTATGCTTCCCCCTTGTTGCCTCTCCTTGGATTGATGATTAGCAATTTGTTTTCCTCCTTTGGTTTGACATTTTTGTTTTGCTCGAGGACGAGCAAAAGCTTAGCTTGGGGGGATTTGATAACTTGCTATTTGATACGATTTTAGGGTGTTTTGAACCTAGTTTACTTGATATAAATTGCGTTTTGGTTCATTTTTACTCTATTATTATGCAATTTTTGTGTATCCTATGCTTCACGGGTTGTTGGTGTTTTTGTTGAGATTCTAGGTTCAAAAGAACGACCAAATGGAGCCCATGGATACAAAGCCGAGGTTAGAAGCAAGAAGATGGATGAAAGAAGCCAAGGAAAGGAGCATTATAGAAGAAAAGATGAAAAAAAGGGGTTTAGAAGACCCTGCACGGCTGTGCCAGACCTTGCACGTCCGTGCAGGAGGTTCCAGAAAGCTTCAGCAAGCTGCCAAGGCCTGCACGTCCGTGCCAAATCTGGCACGTCCGTGCAGAAGAGGGTGCACGACCGTGCCAGACTTTGCACGTCCGTGCAGAAGTGCTCCAGAAACTCAGAACATTCTTCCAAGGCCTGCATGGACGTGCCAAATTAAGCACGTCCGTGCAGATGTAGCTGCACGTCCGTGCCAATATCTGCACGTCCGTGCGGAACTGCTCGATTCTTAGCAGTACGTTCTGCCTCAATTCTGCCCCCTCTGCACGTTCGTGCCAAACTTGGCACGGCCGTGCTTAGCCTTGCACGGCCGTGCCAAATCTGGCACGTCCGTGCAGACCTGCAGTCGAACTCCTTCCTTGTTTTCTCCGTCTTTTTTATTTGGGGGTCATATAAATACCCCTTTAGAGCTCATTTGTAGGGGAGGCAGTTTTTCAGAGCTTTTCTCTTAGTTTGTAGTCTTAGAACATTAAATTCTCAAATCATTAGTTAGTTCTCAATTATTAGCTTGGAATTATTCAAATTCAATCATTGTAGAAGACAAAATCCACCATTGTTGCTCACCTTGAAGCTTCATAGTAACCATTTCTTACTCATCTTTTCTACTTCTCTTTACTTTGTTGTTAATCATTTGCTAGTTCTTGCATGTTTTGGATTGTTAATTAGCTTAATCCTTAGTTTGAATTTGTTCATGAATTGCTTGAAATCTTTAATTGCTTTAACCCCCATGGATTGTGAGTAGTCTAAATTCTAGGGTTTGGGCAAAACCCTCAATGTAGTCACTAATTACTTGTTGTATGTGCTAATTTGGTTGTTGTGGGATGTTAATTAGTTGAGCTTAAGTGGTTTAATTGCTTAGTTCTTTTATATGGCCATTGCTAGAACTATTTATCCAAGCTTTCTCAACGAAGGATCGAGAGATGAACTTGAGTTAGCTCCCTTATGCTTGATTGACCCGAAATGCCATGAGAATAGGGATTACCGGTCAAGGGAATATTTATGTCATCGTGATTATGCTTTAACACTTGTTTTATGCTATGTAACCACGAGAGTAGGTCGTATTCATGATTCAAGTAATCCCTCTAGCTTGAGAGAGTAGTTGGGTGCTTTAGATGACTTCCCCTAATTTATCCCATTAATTTACCTTGATTGTTGCATGCTAATTGTGATTTGTGATGAAGTTGAGTGGTATAACCCAAGCCCTAGATTCCTCTTAATATTGTTAACCTCCTCTTAGCTTAGTTGAATTGTGTTAGAAGAAGTTACTAAAAACCAACCCAATTTAGAATTCGTTTAGCTTATTTAAACGGTAGTACTCGGTGGTTGATTCAACGCCTCTCTTGGGTTCGACCCTTTCTTACCCTTACTATTGTTAGTGAGACCAAGATAGGAATTATTATCTTTGGTAGGCTCGACGACGGCCTATCAATATACTGACTCTTTTCTTCTTTTTTAGACGGGCGCTCCAAGAGCTTCTTCTTCCCAACAGCCGGACCCTAAGGCCCGGAGGACGACTGTTGCGAGCTCTCCTGGTTCTGCCAGGAAACATGCGGCGGCTGAGAAACAGCCGGCCACTTCTTCTAAAACTCCAGTGGGCCACCTAGAAGTATGAAATTATCCTTGTAAATTTTAGACTTGCTCCCTTCTTTACTAGGTCTAATCCGTTTGTTTATGCTTG